TTAAATCCCAAACCTGTGCCAATCTAGACAGCGGCTAAATCCTTTGAACAATGTTCAAGCTGCTGAGGCCCGGAAAATTGTGGGCCTGACACAGTTTACAGCCACGGTTGACAAACGATAACAAGACAACAAAGAGTTGGAGAACCAAGGCAAACTTTTTCTCAGTTGACATGGATACAACGTTGCAGTGCCTCACGGGTCTACCTCATCTCTACTTCCTTGTCTGTGTTGTTGTTGGATTGAAGTGCTTGTTTTTGGCCAGGATTTGGCAATGCAAAAGCGTCAAGATGCTTTGTCTCATGCCAATGCCTCATCCTTGCTCAGTCGGCAGCGGCAGGCTTCGACTGAATTTTGCACTTCTCACAGGGGCTCGCATGTCGACGAAGTGGATGGAAAATGCAGGGATATGATACCAGCAAAGGGGTGACACAGGGTTTGAACCATAAAATCATGCTCATGGTAGATTGGCATCCTGTAGTCCATTTTGCTCATTTCAGGTGATCAGCAGGATCCCAGGGTTTTGACCTATGGCAAAGCGGATCAAGAGCTGATGAGACACTTTTGCAGGTTCGCCGGGCACTGCGACACTTGCTGCGGGCGGTGGAGCACCGCCCTCCACCAGCAATGCGTTTGGTGTGGGCCCAACATCTGAGAACTCAGTAACAAAATGCGAGAAGCAATGACACTTTGGTCTGGAGGATATCGGCAAACACCTTAGATCAAAGACTGACCGTTGCCACCAAGGCGGAACTTTAAGCCTCAAGTATTAAGTTAGATTAAGTTTCCAGTTTTCTCAGTGTTCTTCAAGCAGGACTTTAGCGGCAAATGATCAGCTAAATAACAATTTAGACAATTTAGTTCGTGTACGGCTTACGTTGTTGGAGGCTTTGACATGCTCAACACGATAGCAGAGAACCACTCGGCCCTTGGACGCTTGTGGTTTTCCAGCGCCGCAGCTTGGAGTTGCGAAGTTTAGGTGTATGCCTCGGCCTTGAGCTCCATGCAGCATGGGCCTGCCGGACGTAAGATCACTGACTTCGGAGCTCGAAGCTTTGCAGTTAAATCTCCAATCTTGCAAAAGAAAGAAAGCTTGGCAAGCCGCATTGAACCTGGTTTTCTTGACGTGCAACAGCATAAAACTCCATCTGGTCAGCTTGAATTCAGCAGCAGCAGCTTGCGTGCGAACAAGTTGGGCATTTGCCCTGCAGTTGACCGAGCACCTGCGTGACACTACCTCCGTCAACATTGCCATCGCTGCCGCAAGTCAGATCAGAAACTGGCTCCTGAGTCTGATATTGCTCGATCGAATTCACAACTTAAGCTTGAGAGCAGACACAATCAGCTACAATACTGCAGGAGGAGCTGTCGGGTGGAAGAAAGCGTTGTGGCTGATTCCTGGCAGGCCGGAAGTGTCGGGTTGGCAAGGCACGAAGGATTGGAAGGGAAATGACATGGATGCAGTTGGGTTGAATACTGTTCTGACAAGTGTTTCTCGGAGCACCAACTGGCAGAGAGTAATGTCACTCTTAGCCAGTGCGCCCGAGATTCGTGTGAGTATAAACATTCAATGCCTTACAGGATGTTTGAGCGTTTGTGAGAGAGAGGGCTATTGGCAGAAGGCTGTGGATCTGATGCGTTTAGTGTCTTCAAAGGGGTTGGATCAAAACATGTCTCCAGACCAGAAATCGATGAGCACCATGGTTGGTGCCTGTGGCAAACAATCTCAGTGGAAGGTTGCGCTTTTTGTACTTGGCCAAGAAATGCCACAAAGAAGCGTTTTGCCTGATGCCATTGCCTTTTCTACAGCCATAAATGCCTGCAGTGACGGCACAGATCGCTGGCAAACTGCACTCGGAGTACTTGGACAACTACGGATGTCAAGAGGCTTGCTTTTGAAATCAGACGATGTTGTATCTGCATATCAAGTGGCGATGACTTCTTGTCGTTCACGATGGCAATTACCTTTGAGCCTATTGCAGACTATCCGTGCTGCTAGGGCAAGCAAATCAGGAAGATTGGGAGACGAAGCCTGTATCAATGCTGCCATCAGTGCATACGGTTGCAACCATTGGCAAAAGGCAGTTGAGTTCTCCATGTGCTGCCAGACCCAGCCAAACCTCATTGGATTGAACTCAGCAATCAATGCTTGTAGTGCACCATCCTCTCATTGGGAAACAGCTTGGGAGCTTCAGCATTTGGAAGCTCGATTGAGGTTGCAGATTGACTCTCGGCATTTCCAAAGTCGGGGTTCTGTCTCGCACCTTGTGTGCTGTGTTCGAGGTGCTGTTAGATTTGGGTACAAACTCCAACACGAGCCACACGCTGAAACTCATTCCTTGTCCGTCAGTATCTGGCACACTCCTGCACATTCGATCTAATTATCTATCTATCTCTCTATCTCTCTCTCTCTCTCTATCTATCTATCTATCTATCTATCTATCTATCTATCTATCTATCT